AATTCATTCTTTTCTAAGGATGTACTTAAGTCATTTGAAGAATTTCACATTTCTTCTATGTTGTATCATAAATTTATTAAATTTGTTCATGAAAAACATCCTTTAATTCTTCTTTAAATTCTTGGAAAAACCATTCCCTGATTTGTCTATTTTCGTCAGAGATGAAATCTTTTTAATCCATTCTTTATCAATAACAAACTCGTCTAGATTTTGAATTGTAAGAATCTCAAAGTCAAATTCAGATAGGTTGGCACTTCTGGTTTAGTTTGGGAAGAACTAGGAGTGTCAACTTTATATATTGGATGTTAGACTTGATTTGAAGCATTTCCTAATCCTGCAAGGGCTATTATCTCATTATGGGCTTTCTCGTAATTAGATTGAGGAATAGAGGAGGTTGAGGTTCTAGGTAGATTTTTAGGAAGTGTATTGGAAACACTCAGCCTAGTTTTTTTAGATGAAAGAAATTGTATTTCTATCTCTCCATTCGGATATTCAATTATTTGTTCAGGTTCTCTATTTTCAAGAATCTTAGTGTGAGTTTCAGATTGAAGGGACCATATTTCTAGTAATTTAACCTGTTTCCAAGATACAGACCTTGGTATAATTAAATTAGATTTATCCATATTAGTCTGAAAGAAAATAGTCTGACCCTTAGTATTCATTTGCCTAACATCAGGACATAGAGTGTTCATAATTTTATAACATATTCTATAAACAAAAGCTAAGTTTTGATATTCATGATCCATATCAAAACCTTGAGTTTTTACATTCAAGGTTAAAAATTTTAATAGATTAGGATCAGATAAGGCCACTGAAAAGTTTGAAAAACAATTAAAATATATAGAACTATTACAAAGAGTTGATTCGATGATTCCCAATAAAGAATCGATGAACCTTCTATGTCTGTTATCCTTTAAGCAAAGCAAAACATAGTTGTTTAACCCCGTCCTGGTTAAAAGTTTAACATCTATTTGGACAATACCAATATGCAGATAGTTGAAATTTTTTTTTTTATGTTCTTCAACCATCCTTGAGGATAGTAATTGGCAAGTATCCTGAGTTTCTATGACATAAATAGTTTTATCAACAGTTTTAATTGAGAAGCTATTTTTGAATTCAAAAGTTCATTTCTATAAACATATGTTATAAGAACTTTTGGGATGTTCCAATTTTGGATTTGTTTGTCGATATGATTGATAATAACTTCTTTCTTGTTATTAACACGGAGTGTACTGGTAGAAGCGGTTTATACTCGATAGTGTTCTAAACAAATTTGCCATATTTGATTTACAATCTTAATCTGAGTCAACTGGAAACAGTCTCTACACATTTCCTGCCATTTTGGCTTAATCTGAGTCAACTGGTATTTTTGTCATCTTCATAAAGAGTAACGTTCAAATTTTCATTAAAAGACAAAGGCACTCTAAGAAAAAAATTCCACGACATTAACTTCTAAAATCCCATTCTACTTTTGTAAAACTTTCAAATTTACCATTGCTTAATGGTTAAGTTACATATTAAAATAATTTTTTAAACAAAAATAGTAATCATCTTTTTGATAAATACACCCATTACAACCCTTTCTAACTTTAACATTTGTATTCTAAGGGGTTGTTAACTCTAGACAAATCATATACATATACATATATATATATATATATATATATATATATAGTAGGTGGT